TTAATGGGGATTATAGTGCCCCCCCGATTATCATCCCGACTAAGGATTGTTAGTATATGGGGGAACCTCCCAAGTAGGGCATAGGCTGTGGGGTGATGAACACCTGTTGTCCCAGGCCAGAAAACTAGCCCAAACTCCCAGGTTCAACCCACAGGGGTCACCAAGCAAGAAACCCACCCTTCCTCCCTCCTAGGCCGAGGCCTCATTTCGGGAGACTCTTGGGATGTATTTCGAAGTTTGTCCCCTAGGAGGCTATGTAACAGCCCTAAACCCTAAACTCCTTTCTGGGCTTATAAGGGCTAGGCAGGATCGGTCTTCAGAGTCAAGCGGAAGTCCCAAGGGCAAAAGCCCGAATCCCCCCTGCTGAAAGGAGTACCCCAAACCCCAAACCCTAAACCCTGAACCCTGAACCCTAAACCTTACTGGCTCAAAACCCAACTTTTCAACTTTTGGGCTTCTTATAAGGTAGTTTATTCTGAAAGTTTCAACTTTTATTTCCTTGGTTTTTGGGCCAGTAAGAAACTCCCCGTTGAAAGGAGTACCTGGCCTACCGCGGTCGCTACCAAGAGTGGAGGAGGGGTGGTGTATCTGGCGCCCAAGGCCTGTGGTGGCTTGTGGTTTTTTTGGGGACCCTAAACCCTAAACCCTAAACCCTAAACCCTAAACCCTAAACCCTAAACCCTAAACCCCAAACCCTAAACCCTAAACCCTAAACCTTGCACCGCAGCTCTGGCTTTGGAACCCTAATCATGGACTCCGGGGTGTGATGGGCTCTCCATGGAAATGTGTCCTTCCTGCAACTTCTTGAAGTTTAGGGCACCCAAACTGAGGAGGGTGTAGGGCTTAGGGCTTAGGGGCTTAGGGCTTAGGGTTTAGGGTTTAGGATTTAGGGTTTAGGGTTTAGGGTTTAGGGTTTAGGGTTTAGGGTTTAGGGTTTAGGGCACCCAAACGGAGGAGGACAACTCAGATGAACACCCCCCCCCGCTAGAACCTAAACCCTATAGGCCCTAAACTGCAGTTTGGATCTGGGCTCAGTTGGAGCTTGTCATCTTATCTGTTCAGTCAGCCGTGCCGCTCGCGAAGCCTTGTTCTCGTGACGCCCTAACCCCAAACCCCAAACCCCAAACCCCAAACCCCTAAACCCTAAACCCTAAACCCTAAACCCTAAACCCTAAACCTTAAACCCTAAACCCTAAACCCTAAACCCTAAACCCTACCTAAACCCTAAGCCCTATAGGCCCTAAGCGCTAAACCAGGTGAGCTCACGGCCGAGGCTTTGGAACAACAGCGCCTTGGATGCGACTCATGATACTTGACATGGGGGGGTTGTCCCAGATCAGGGTTTAGGGTTTAGGGTTTAGGGTTTCATAGCACAACACCCCGCCCCCCCCAAGAAAGAGCAAAGAAGAAGCTATAGCTGACCTGAAAAGGAAGCCGTTTCTTGAAGACCTTTCCCCCAGACTGACGGTCCTTTTGGATGACTTGAGAGGGTGCGCAGAACCCTCCACCTTAAACCGTATTTCCTAAACCCTAGGCATAACTCCCAAATCCTGCAGCCGCAGGGCCGCGTTGTCCTCACAAAGGTTTCTGCGCCCTATTCTTGGGGGTCCATGGGTACTTGTAGAGGTATACATAACCCCAGCTTTATCTGTACTCATAAGCCCCTTAAGTCATCTGAATAGATTAACAGGGGGTTTATAAGCACCCACGAATCTCCAAGTAGACCACCGACCTCCCTGCTAACAAACATATGCTTTTCGAGACCAAACCTGTGGAACGAAAGTTCAAACTTTGCGCCTGAACCCTCGCTTCAACCAGGCAGGGAGCAGGCAAGCAATCCGGAATGAGCACTGCACGAAAGGGTTATAGGGTTAAGGCGGATTGCTACCCAAGACCCTAAACCCTAAAAAGTGCTTCCTAACATGCTTCAAGAAGCAAGGCTTTTGGGCACATGCGAAGTATAGGGTTCATATTCAGAGGATTCCTTCAGGCTATTGGTGCCTGAAAGCTTTGGGCACATATGAAGTAGGGCTCATTTCAGCTTTAGGGTGGAGGGCTGTTATAGGATTCCTGAAAGCTCTCGGTGCGTGTATATGCCGGGCTGCCGGGGTGTCCTCTTTGGGGGTTTGGAAGCCCCGATATCCTCTAGGACCCAGAGAGTGTGCAGTTTTTGGGCGCCTTTGCGAGCAGCAAAGGGTACCTTTTTTTTTCTCCTACCTTTCTCCTGGGAAAACCAGTAGCAAACCTCTAGCCATGAAGCCTTTTTGGGCACTTTTTTGTTTTCTAACATGGCGCTTTTGACAACCCAAAGGTTGTTGTTTTTTTGAGGGAGGCTGATGAGCAAAACGGGCAGAAGTCCAGCCCAAACCCGCAAAACCACAAACCCTCGAAGCCCTCAACCCGAAACCCCAAAACCCCGGGTTTAGGGTTAACGGTTGAAAAGCGTGGCTACTCGTTGCTTGAGATCGGCGAACGAACTTGTTGGCGAACCCATCACTGACGGGTCGGTTGAGGGTTTAGGGTTTAGGGTTTAGGGCTTAGGGTTTAGGGTTTAGGGTTTAGGGTTTAGGGGTTTAGGGGTTTAGGGGTTTAGGGGTTTAGGGGTTTAGGGGTTTAGGGGTTTAGGGGTTTAGGGGTTTAGGGGTTTAGGGGTTTAGGGGTTTAGGGGTTTAGGGTTTAGGGGTTTAGGGGTTTAGGGGTTTAGGGGTTTAGGGGTTTAGGGGTTTTAGGGGTTTAAGGGTTTTAGGGTTAGGGTTTTGGGGCTGCCACGCCGGCTATTGAGCCGACTTCTGCGAGCTCTTAGAACTCGAGCGTCTCTTGGGCAGCTCTTGGGATGCTCCCCTGATACTAACATTTACTAACAGTCCTTAATAGGGATTATGGTATCGCTCATTCAATCCCTGTTAAGGACTGTTAGTATAGGGGGGAACATCCCAGGCAGCTCAGCGATTCCTCGCCCGCGCGGGGACTTCGAGACTAAATGGACCAGTAGGTCGCTTGCGTCGATCGGGTCGACAAAGAACACCATAAACCCTTCTATGCTCAACCCCCCTAAAATCCTTACACCCACCAGCACCCCAAAAAGAGCATTTTTTGGTTAAAAAAAAAAAAAAACAACCCAACAAACAAAGAAGCACAAGCAAAACAGTAACAATAAGAACCTACTAAAGCAACCCCCCCAAAAGTTTGGCACGTCCTTCTCCCCTATACCCCCAAAAGGTACAGTAAGGGAATCCCAGCTCTAATCACCCTTAAGCCATGTTCCAACTTTTCTGGAGTTTACTGTAAGCCCTTCGCTGCTCAGATCCGCGGTGGACCGTGGCGACCCATACCGCCACCTGGGCTCAACCTTGATTCCCTTTTTTGTTCGTGGGGGGGGGGTGGGGGGTGGGGGGGGTGGGGGTGGGGGGGGGGGGTTGTTAGGGTTTAAGGTTTACAGTTTTGGGCCCTGAGTGTATGGGCTTAGGGCTTCTTTAGTTTGCAAGGGTTTAGGGGTTTTGTGGGCGAACTGAGTGGGAACATGAGAGCGCGCTCGCACGCGCGTTCGTCCAAACCCCAAAGAACTGTTTAACCACCCTAAACCCTAAACCCTAAACCCTAAACCCTAAACCCTAAACCCTAAACCCTAAACCCTAAACCCTAAACCCTAAACCCTAAACGGGTTTAGGGTTTAGGGTTTAGGGTTTAGGGTAACTGTTTATAGAAGGGGGGAACATCCACAGCTTGAGCCCTGAAGTCCAAAAGCCCCGCCGATGAACTCAAGGCCTTAAAGCCCCCAACCCCTTAAAGGCGAAGCAGAGTGTCAGCTCAAGCCCTAAACCCTAAACCCTAAACCCTAAACCCTAAACCCTAAACCCTAAACCCTAAACCCTAAACCCTAAACCCTAAACCCTAAACCCTAAACCCTAAACCCTAAACCCTAACCTCTTAAACATATCCCAGAGAGTCCGAAGCCCTACAGATGCACCCCAAGAGGCTTTGACTACTGGTACCCAACCGCCTCGATCTTTCGCATGCGCTTCACCCTGGCTTATTGGATCGCCGTGATGCTCCTCGGACTAGGGGTTTAGAGTTTAGGGTTTTTGGGGATGTTAGGGTTTTTAGGGTTTTTAGGATTTTTAGGGTTTAGGACCGGATTGTGTTGGGCTCGGGGTTTTGGGGTGTTGGGTGTCAGAGGCCTGGATGCAAAAAGAGTGGGGGTTGACAGGGGTTTCGGATAGGGCTGGATGCACAAGGGGCTTTCGGGTTTTTGGCGTCTGCGCTCAGACAGGGCTTTCGGGTTCAGGGGTTTTAGGGGGGGATTTGGAGCTGTAGGGTTGAGCGCTTTAGGGTTTTTAGGGGGCTTAGGGCACTTTTGGGCCTTGCGGGGTTTATCATGAAGGCTTATGTAGGATGCTTGGTGCTTTAGGTTGAGGTCTTGCTTACGGGGATTCTCGGGCTCGCGGAGGTCTTTTGGGGCCTTCGGGTGTAACTCCGGGCTTGGGAGTAGTGCACTTAAATACTTTCTTTGGTTCGGGGTTCCCATAGTAGCCACTTATACCTAAAAGGTATATACTTTTTTATTCCAGGGTCTACTCCGAAGTAGGGAACTCAAATGCCTGCGGATCAAGTCTCCGCACAGCGACACTATCTTGTGCTTGCCTGGTTGCACCGCCACGATGACAGACGCCGCCCCGGCCCACGTTGAGGAGGCGAGTGTCGCGACCGTGAAGCTTGGCTCTTCGTGAGGATCTATAGGGTTTAGGGTTTAGGGTTTAGGGTTTAGGGTTTAGGGTTTACCTTTCAAGTCAGGCTAGCGCCATCTACTGAGGGTTTTCGAGGATTCTACAGGATTTTCTGAGGGTTTGTTGGGCTTTCGAGAACTTAACGTGCCGTAATCAGAGAAAACCATGATTTTTTCCGATTTCTATAGATCCTGTTTACGGTGACTTGAAGTTGATTTCCTTAACCAGGGCCCCGCGCCCAGGAAGAGCCAGGACCCGCCCAGCGATGTGGACTTCATGGAAAAGGGGGTATCGGAGGTCGAGAGCCACTTTGACTTTGACTTCTACGATCCGGGCAATTGGGGCATGATCCTTCATTGTTGGTGTTTGGGCTTCGTGTCCGGAGGCTTCAACGCCTTGCTCATGGGCGTGGTTGCGGGCTATATGCACGTGCCCAGCGACATCATCCGAGGTTTGCAGAACATGTCCTCCCTTCCGAATGTCTTGTCCGTCTTCATGGGTGTCGTGTCGGACTCACGCCCGATCTTCGGATACCGCCGCAGGCCCTACATGGCGCTGGGCTGGCTTATCACCACAATTGCCTACTCCGCCATGGCTTGCATGGGGCTGCCTGAACCGTACTTCTGTGCAGGGCCGGACGGCGGGTATCTGTACGATCGGCTGCCCTGCAACCCACATGCCCCGTATTTTTACGTGCCTTTGGCGATCTTCCTCTTCTCCGCGAACGTCGGCCTACTGGTGAGTGGGGCTGCGGGTCGTGGGCTGATAGTCGAGCATCCCACTTGCGCTTCAGGTTTCAGCTTTGCAACCCTAAACCCTAAACCCTAAACCCTAAACCCTAAACCCTAAACCCTAAACCCTAAACCCTAAACTCCATAGGTGTTGGGGTTTCGACTTCTACACTCGCACGCAACCACGCGTAAGGTACGCAAAGGCCGAAGATGAGGAGTCCCGCGGCCGAACGCAGACGCTGCTTGAGACTTAGCTTTCGAACTTTTCAACGGTTGGTTTAGGGTTTAGGGTTTAGGGTTTAGGGTTTAGGGTGGTGTTTTCGGTATGCTGGTAACCGTTAGGAGAGTCCAGGTTTAGCCTGAAGTTCGAAGCCCTGGTGCCTCAACCCAGAAGCCCAAGTTAAGAAAATTCAGAAGGTTGTTTCTCGGTTTCATGCGAAAGTGAGGAGATGGTCGGGTTGGTCGGGGGCTTTTCGTCGCTGATGGTGGCCGGTTTCGGCTTCAATGGCCGCCTGTTCAACGGCTCCTGGGATCAGCGATACCAGCTCGGATACCGACAGTACGCCTCCATCTTCGCCGTGGTCTCCATGATTGCAGGCTTGTCCTGCATTCGCCACGTGCGCGAAGTACCAGGGGGTCGTGTGTCGATGCGGCAGTACTTCCATACTGCATCTTAGTGGCCCAGTGGTACCCTTTTCCCCCCCCTTTTTTTTTGGGGTTAGGGGTTCCCTTATAAAGTAACTAACCAAAAAATGGGTGCCCTTATCATTATTCTCATTATTATTATTATGAGTATTATTACTATTATGGTGATTATTATGATGATGATTATTATTATGGTGATTATTATTATTATGATTATTACTATTATGGTGATTCTTATGATGATTATTATTATGAGTATTCTTATTATGTGGCTACTGGGCTGCCAAGGCCTGGAGCCTCTTGCAGAGCCGGGCCGTGGCCGGCGTGGGCCTCTTCTACTTCGTCAGGGGCGTGATCGCGAAGGTCTTCACCACGGCGAGCATGTGGGTCATGATGGAGTGGGCCGGCGTGAAGGGCTTGCAAATGCAGTTGCTTGAGGGATTCCTGGGAATATTTTTTCTCGTTTTTTGTGTACTGCAATTCCTGGGAAACAGCTTGAGTTGCAGTTTTCTGCGAGGGGCCCAAGTTCAGTATAGGTTGTCCTCCATGTTTGGGGTCTTCGCGTCCTTGTTCGGCAGCTGGCTCTTGCAGAAGTACATGCTGAATGTCAGCTGGCGGAGGATCCTGATGGTCGCCACGGTGGCCGGCGTAGCTTTGGATGCGACTCCGACCTTTCTGACCATCTTCGGCGTGGTGCGCAACGAGTACTTCTACCTTGGCGAGTCGGTCGTCAGCGCTGCTTTGCCATAGTTGGGTAGCATCTTACATGTTTAAGGGTACTTGAACCCAATAAGAATATATATATATATATTTGCATTTTAATATTATTCCAACCCAACAACGAACAAGGCTGTGCCGGAGTCCATGGCCACCCTTGTCCTCTGCTTCGTGATCAACGAGTTGGCCGACAGTACCAACTGCGGTCTCATGGCCGGGCTCTTCACGACCCTACATTTTTTCCTTGGGAATTATTTTGTGTTATTATTTTGTATTATTATTTTGTATTATCATTTTGTATTTTTATTTTGTATTTTTATTTTGTATTTTTGTTTATATAAAACCCAAGAGGATATTAAAGATACTATGGTAGTTAAGGTTCTAAGGGGAGTATAGGACCATCAACAACGTGGCAAATCCCTTGGGCTTGCTACTGGGGAACCAGATCTTCGGGTTGTTCCAGCCAGCGCTTTGGGATCAAGACAACTTCGTGGAGGACACGCCGGCCTTCCGCCGGACGGTGGGTTTCTCTTACGTCCTGACCTATGCCCTCATCCTTCTGCCACTCCTGATCCTGCGTCTGCTTCCGAGCCAAAAGAGCCACGCTCAAAGGCGCAAGCGTGAATGGAGACACAGGTGGGAGTTTTCGAAAATAGGGGAACCCTAGAAAAGACTCCAAATAGTAGGATCCCCTTATAAGAAGGACCCCAATAAGGTACCCCCTAATTTCGGAAACCCCCTAAACCCTAAACCCCAAACCCCAAACCCCCAGGTGTTACTATGCAGTGGTGGCAGCGATTTTGTTGGGTGCATCGCTCCTGTACACCTTGGTGGGTGTCGCCTTCGATATGGACCCAATCCTGGCCTGCCACAGGCTCCTTCCTGTTGGTTAGTTTAGGGTTTAGGGGATAGGGTTTCCCCTTAAAGGGTCTATACAGGGTGCCTCATTCCTTCATTCCCTGGCTTGCCACAGGTGGGTGGGTGGTCCAGGCTGCAACCAGGCCGCTAAGCTGTCTGACCCTGCTCAGGATTGAGATTAGTTGATCGTTGTTCAGGTTTCGAGTCCTCCAGGGTTTAGGGTTTAGGGTTTAGGGTTTAGGGTTAGCGTTCTTTAATAAACGCCCACCCGACGATTCGTATGGGGACTCAGCCCACAGGGTCAGAGCAGTCGAGTTTGATTGTTTTAGTAACGAAGCGACGTGAGATCTCGGCGTGCAGACGATCTGGAGGCATACGGCTAAGAAACCACGACCCGGGGTACGCTTTGAAGGGGTTGAACCGAGTAGAAGACCCTAAACCCTAAACCCTAAACCCTTAACCCTTAACCCTTAACCCTTAACCCTTAACCCTTAACCCTAAACCCTAAACCCTAAACCCTAAACCGCATGCTTCCTGTCGACGCGCCCTCTTCTCTAGTTGCAGAGAGTGCGAGGTCGAGGTCGCAAGGTCTCCGCGAAACCCGGGCACTTCAGACGTACATGAGGGCGCTTCTCGCTACTTCGCTGGGACCCTAAGCCCTAAACCCTAAACCCTAAACCCTAAACCCTAAACCCTAAACCCTAAACCCTAAACCCTAAACCCTAAACCCTAAACGACCTTGCCTTCTTCGACCTTGTGATTTGGTTTTGAAGCAAAGTATCCGAGAGGCTTGGGAACCTCAGGGCCCCTCGTGAGCCCTTCTGTAAAGAGACGACAGGACTCTCGGATTCCCTCTGTACAGGTCGACCTGACCCAAGGAGTCAGTTTAGGGTTTAGGGTTTAGGGTTTAGGATTTAGGGTTTAGGGTTTAGGGCACTGCAGTCCCTCCTCAAAAAACGGGTTCAGGATTCAGGGTTCGGGGTTCTGGACCCTTGGGGCCTTAGGGCGTAGGACCCTTGAGGCGTAAGGTCAGGCAGCATCAAGCTCGATGGACATCGGGCGCCGCCTTCCCGAAGCTATTAATTAAGGCAGGCGGGTGGCTGCATGCGATTGCCTTTGCACGTTTGAGTACGTAACGTTCCAAACCCTACAACTTGGGATGTTCCACCTTATACTAACAGTCCTTAGTAGGGATTATAGTACGGGGTATTCTGATCCCTATTCAGGGCTGTTAGTATAAAAGGGCGAACATCCCAACCTACAACTATCGTGAAGCTGCAGTGTGCCCCTTGAAGGGCGAAGCCCATTGGACCTTGTAGCGTGTAGAAGCAAGGCATGCGCAGCCACCTTCCCAGCGCCAGGACATGTCACAGGTATCGCAAGCCTGGTAGCTACTTTCTCGTTCCTGCGCTAAGATCCTGGCAGACGTCCGGAAATGGAGAGAAAGTTTGGTGTCCGAATTTGCCGCATATTCCGGTGGGACGGCGAGGCGGAGAGAGATTGTGAAGTACATGCGCATGAAACCCCAAACCCTCAATCCTAAACCCTAAGCCCCCCGAGGTTCCTACTCGGCTCCATCTTCTTCTGCGTGGCCGCGGCCAACAAGCTCTTGCAGGCCTATGGCGGGAGGCTGGTGCAGGCGCCCCGGCACTCGGTTGAAAGAAGGATATGGGGTTTAGGGTTTCGGGTTTGGGGTTTAAGAATCCGGGTTCGGGGGTCAGGGTCTGGGAATTCGGAACCCCCCCCCCCCTCCCCCGCAAAAACTAAAGTCAAGAAAAAGCTTGCCAAGTAGGGGATGGGGCGTACCTCATTCCACAATAGCACACCCTGAAGCCTGAGCTTACCCTACTCCCCCGGAGGGTTTGAATCTCTTGGGGAACCGACCTGTTGTCTTAAAAGGGGTTTAGGGTTTAGGGTTTAGGGGTTAGGGGTTTTGGGTTCAGATTTAGGGGTTCCTAGGCTTCGGCATTGTGTGGGGCTTTGGGGGTCTTGGGGTATTTAAGGGGCTTTATGGTTGAATTCTCGGGAGGGTTCAGGACTCAGGTCGGGCTTCGGCTTTTGTTATGCCTCAAGACGGTTTGGGGTTTGCAGTAGGGTGGTGGGTTTAGGGTTTAGGGGTTTCCAGCTTGAGAGAGCCCTTGTTGAAAATCTGGGCTTCCAGCTTCAAAAGGGTTTAGGGTTTAGGGTTTAGGGTTTAGAATTTGGGGTTTAGGATTTAGGGTCCCAGCAGGTCTGGCCCAATTTGTTGGGCGCCTGTTCCTACACCATCGGCTGCTACCTGTCCTACGTGCAGCTGATCAACATGCCGACGAGGCCTACACCCTGAACCGTAAACCCCAAGCCCTTTAAACCCTAAACCCTCTACCCTAAACCCTGTAAGCGGGGGAGGAACGCTGCATGCCTCTCAAGGGAAGGGCATCGGGGGGGGCTTCGGGACCTGGTTAGCCGTTTCTATTCTAGTCAGTTTGGTTTGTTGGTTGTTCGGTTGAGTTGGTGTTGTGATGCTGCCCTGTTACCCGCCCGAAGCAGTCTGCAATCCGAACCTGATTTTTGGCCATTGTAGCACCTGACCTTTTCCCCGTAAACGCTTGCGACATGGGGTTTAGGGTTTGGGGTTTAGGGTGTAGGGATTAGGGTGTAGGGTTCAATCCTAGAGGTTGCCAGCGTTTCGGGTCCAATAAGTTTGGTAGCCCAGTAACCATCTTGTAACAACGGCACCCTTTTTCGGGGGTGGCGGTATTTTTTCCGTAGTTTTTTTTCCGTTTTTTTTTGTAGTTTTTTTCCGGCCGTCTGGCCCAGCAAGCAAGCAAGCAAGCAAGCAAGTAAGCAAGCGAGCCAGCAAGCAAGCAAGGAAAACAAGCAACGGTACCAGCAAGCAAGCAATCAAGCAAGCAAGCAAACAAGCAAGCAAGCAAGCAAGCGAGCAAGCGGGCCAGCAAGCAAGCAAGCAAGCAAGCAAACAAGCCAGCCACCCCCGCTTGGGCTGCCCCCCCCCCCCCCCCCCCCAACCCCCCCTTTTCTTTAAGGCTAAACCCTAACCCCTAAACCCTAAAACCCCTAAACCCTAACACACCTAACCCTAAACCTAAACCTAACCTACCCAAACCCCTAAACCCTAAACCCTAAACCCTAAACCCTAAACCCTAAACCCTAAACCCTAAACCCTAAACCCTAAACCCTAAACCCTAAACTCTAAACCCTAAACCCTAAACCCTAACCCCCTAACGCTTTTAGCTTCTTTCAAAGCATGTGAATCTTGAAACCCTCATGCAAGCAAACTCATCATGCAAGCATGAGTTTGCAAATGGGGGGGGCTGCGCCCCCCCCCCCAACCCCCCCCGCTTGGGCTGCGCCCCCCCCCCCCCCCAACCCCCCCGCTTTTTTAAGCTAAACCCTAAAACCTAAACCTAAACCCTAAACCCTACACCCTAAACCCTAAACCCTTAACCCTAAACCTAAAACCAAACCCTAAACCCTAAACCAACCCTAACCCTACCCTAAACCCAACCCCCCCCCCCCGCTTTTTAGCTTCTTTCAAAGCATGTGAATCTTGAAACCCATCATGCAAGCAAACTCATCATGCAAGCATTGAGTTTGCAAATGGGGGGGGGCTGGCCCCCCCCCCCAACCCCCCCCGCTTGGGCTGCGCCCCCCCCCCCCCAACCCCCCCGCTTTTTTAAGCTAAACCCTAAAACCTAAACCCTAACCCCTAACCCCTACACCCCCTAAAACCCTAAACCCCCTAAACCCTAAACCCTAAACCCTAAACCCTAAACCCTAAACCCTAACCCTAACCCTAAACCCTAACCCTAACCCTAAACCCTAACCCTAAACCCTAAACCTAACCCTAAAACCCTAAACCCTAAACCCTAAACCCTAACCCCAACCCCCCCCTTTTTAGCTTCTTTCAAAGCATGTGAATCTTGAAACCCATCATGCAAGCAAACTCATCATGCAAGCATTGAGTTGCAAATGGGGGGGGGGCTGCGCCCCCCCCCCCCCCAACCCCCCCCGCTTGGGCTGCGCCCCCCCCCACCCCCCCCGCTTTTTTAAGCTAACCCTAAAACCTAAACCCTAAAACCCCTACACCCTAACCCTAAACCCTAAACCCTTAACCCTAAACCCTAAACCCTGGGTATATAGGGTTTATAGGGGAGGGCTCAGTACCCCCCCCCCCCCCTCGACCCAAGAGGTTCCCCCGACCAGCAAGCCAGAAAAAAACTACAAAAAAAATCGGAAAAAACTACGGAAAAAATCCCAGCCGTTTTCAGAGGGGTTACGGGAAGCCTCCGAACACCTGGGAACATGTGGCACCACTGGGCTACCACTTAGCCTAAACCGCCTAAACCCCACCCTAAACCAGAGATAAAACCTAAAATAAACCCTAAACCCTAAACCTAAACCCTAAACCCTAAACCCACACCCCTGGGCGCAGGAGGTCGGGCTTAAAACGTTTAAGGGTTGCGACTCAGAGCGTCCAGGTCGCAAGATCTGAGTGTCTAAAGTTTAATATGAGGCGCTCCGCGGACAATGCCCTTTAGGGTTTCGGGCTTTTTTTGGGTGTGGGGTTTAGGGTGTATAGGGCTACGGTTGGGTGATAGGGTTCGGGTCTTTTTTGACTTTGGGGTTTAGAGGTTTATAGGGCAAGGGTTTAGGGTTTTAGGGTTTCGGGCTTTTTTTGACTTCTGGGGTTAGGGTGATAGGGGTTCGGGCTTCTTTTTTTGACTTCTGGGTTTAGGGTTATAGGGGGGCTACGGGTTTAGGGTGATAGGGGTTAGGACAGGGTTTAGGCTCGAGATCACAAGCCATAGTTAAGTCATCGGAGGGTTTGATAGCCGGCTTTTTGTCGCAGCTGCATGTATATTGGAGGTTCATGGTTTAATTCTTTAACCAGTTTATAACTGTACTTATAAACTGGACTTTAGGGATTTAGGTGTTATTAAGTGGGTCTATAAGTACAGGATAGTGGCTATTAACACATGAACAGCAAGTAGGTCGAAGGGTTGCTGCTGAACATTTACAGGCATCGTAGTTCCGGATGCAAAAAAGGGGTGTCGGGTGTTACCCAGACAAACCGATGAGGTTCAGGGTGATCTTAATGTGTGTTCCTGGCACACCCCGCATGTGATGGGGAGGGGCAGAGGAGTTAAGTCAGGTTACTGTTCGAATCATGCGC